GGGGGGGGGCAGTGGTGACATTACACACTATACTCACTCGGAGGGGCCAGTTGTGACATTACACACTATTTTAGTATTGTTTAATATAGTGCTTCCATTAAGAAGTATTTTAGTATTAAGATGAACTAGACAAACTCCAAAAATCTTATTTATTTAAGGATAAGTTGTCATATTTTTGACGTTTATTGGCGTGTAAACTACATCGGGCTTGCGATATATTGAATGGTGCGCGTTAGCGCACCATGTGAAATATATCGCAAGCCCGATCCTTATATTTACATTCCAAACCAACAATACACTGTATTAGTTGTCAAATGTTGCGAGTATTGTTAATTGCTGTTTTAAAACTCCTATACACACCGACTGGGTCAGCGGTAAATTGTTCAGAACAGCCGGGTAGTTTCGCATTCCACAGTCGTTGTCAAGAGCAACCAGGCCGACAAAAACAATAAACAAGAAAGTTCCACAGTAAACACATCAATTTAATAATTGGTTTGTTTTTTTTTTTATTTAAATGGATATATGTCAATTACCAATTTGTATACTAACATGTGACCATTTTAATATATATTGTGGTCATTTAGCGATTTAAGTGTCTTACAGTAACATTTTAAGACACAACACAGCGGAACATCGCCACTTGGCGGTAATTAGGTCAGAGATCAGCTGGCGGAGGCGGCCATTATTGAAAGTTTTGAGTCGGCTGGCACAAGTTTTCACTGTTTACCGAAGGTAAATGAACAACCATGAAAGGTAGAATTACTCAAGAAACCTGACGTGAATGAAGACTAATTAGACTGATATACAGAAGATGGAGTAGACAAGTGTGATGCTGTGCTTTCTGTTAAAACTGTGGTGGGCATGACTGTGTTTTCCGTTGAAGCTGTGGTACAAACTATGTATCACTACACTGACTTAATCCCCGTTGTAGTTCATTTGAAAATATGTTACAATGGGACCAGTAGAGTTATCTAGGCACTATGCAGTGCAAATGTAAATATTAAAGTTTGTCTCTCATCAGTATACATTGAACATTGTAAAATATAATGGGTAGCAATTTCATAATCATCACCACACATACAAGATGGAGACTCTTTCAAGTGATCTTTGAACAGATCATAGTTCAAGTTACTCGCCTCATTTCTCAGTTGACATAAAATTATGTTACCATTTCTGCTTTCACAATTTTTAAATACATCAGAGATATCATTATTAAAACATACATGTATTTCATTATATACCTTTGTCTTAATTTTTTTAAGAGTAGGGGAATGTACTATATCCTTTTGAAGTCCATTGAACTTGTTGCACATTACTGGGAAGAAGCTTTTAGCATAGGATTCTGTACGACATAGTGGTGGGTTAAACATTCTCACATTTCTTAGAGTATACCAATCATTTTCTGGGTTATAAATAAGAGGATCAATTATGTCCTCGAGGTATGTGGGTGATACATTGTTAGTTATTGTATACATCTGAGTTAGCTTATGGTTCATCCTTCGATCAGAAAGAGATTCCCAGCCTTGTTCTTTATATAGAGTTTGGTGTGATGTACCTTTCCTTAGGCCTGTGATAATCCTTGCAGCTTCTAGTTGTACAGATTCTAATAGATGTTTAAGATTGTCAGAGCAGTTGTCCCAGACAATATCAGCACATTCAAGCATTGGACGGATAAATGTTGTATATATTTTGCATAGTGATTTCCTATCAATCTTATATTTCCGATACCTAAGCATGTTCATTCCTTTACTAGCCTCTTCATATATTAATTGAACATGGGTAGACCAAGTGCAATCTTCAGAAAAAGTTAATCCAAGACGTTTGTGATCATGGATAATATCTACACAAGTATTAGGGAGGATGGATAGGTTCTTTGTTTTTCTAGAAAATAATAGTGATTTGGTTTTAGAGGGGTAAAATTGAATGTCCAATGTGATGACATTACACACTATACTCACTCGGAGGGGGGGGGGTGTCAGTGATGACATTACACACTATACTCACTTGGGGTGTGTGTGTGTGTGGATGGGGCAGTGATGACATTACACACTATACTTACTCGGAGGGGGTTGGGTAGTGGTGACATTACACATTATACTCACTCAGGGGGTGGGGGGTAGTTGTGACATTACACACTATACTCACTCGGAGGGGGGCAGTGATGACATTACACACTATACTCACTCGAAGGGGGGGGGACAGCGATGACATTACACACTATACTCACTCGAAGGGGGGGGCAGTGATGACATTACACCCGATACTCACTCGGAGGGAGGGGGTAGTGATGACCTTACACACTATACTCACTCGGGGTGAGGGGGCAGTGATGACATTACAAATTATACTCACTCGGGGGGCGACATTACACACTATACTCGCTCGGGGTGGGGGCAGTGATGACATTACCCACGATACTCACTCGAAGGGGGGGGCAGTGATGACATTCTCCACTATACTCACTCGAAGGGGGGGGGACAGCGATGACATTACACACTATACTCACGCGCAGGGGGGCAGTGGTGACATTACACATTATTCTCATTCGGAGGGGGGGCAGTGATGACATTCTCCACTATACTCACTCGAAGGGGGGGGGACAGCGATGACATTACACACTATATTCACTCGGGGAGGGGGGGGGGGGGGGCAGTGATGCCATTACCCGCTATCCTCACTGGGAGGGAGGGGGTAGTGATGACCTTACACACTATACTCACTCGAAGGGGGGGGGACAGCGATGACATTACACACTATACTGACTCGGGGGGGGGGCAGTGATGACATTCTCCACTATACTCACTCGAAGGGGGGGGGACAGCGATGACATTACACACTATATTCACTCGGGGAGGGGGGGGGGGGGGGCAGTGATGATACACACTATACTTACTCGGAGGGGGGTGGGTAGTGGTGACATTACACACAATACTCACTCGGAGGGGGGTAGTAATGACATTACACACTATATTCACTCGGGGGGGGGGGGCAGGGGGGACATTACACATTATACTCCCTCGGGGGGCGACATTACACACTATACTCGCTCGGGGTGGGGGCAGTGATGACATTAAACATTATACTCACTCGGGGGGCGCCATTACACACTATACTCACTCGAAGGGGGGGGCAGGGATGACATTACACATTATAGTCACTCGGGGGGCGACATTACACACTATACTCTCTCGGAGGGAGGGGGTAGTGATGACCTTACACACTATCCTCACTCGGGGGGGGGGCAGTAATGACATTAAACACTATACTCACTCGCAGGGGGGCAGTGGAGACATTACACACTATACTCCCGCGAGGGGGGGGGCAGTGATGGCATTACACACTATACTGACTCGGGGGGGGGGCAGTGATGACATTAAACACTATACTCACTCGGAGGGGCAATGTGATGACATTACACACTATCCTCACTCGGGGGGGGGGCAGTGATGACATTTCATACTATACTCACTCGGGGGGGGGCAGTAATGACATTAAACACTATACTGACTCGGAGGGGGGCAGGGATGACATTACACATTATAGTCACTCGGGGGGCGACATTACACACTATACTCACGCGCAGGGGGGCAGTGGTGACATTACACACTATACTCGCTCGGGGTGGGGGCAGTGATGACATTTCATACTATACTCACTCGGGGTGGGGGCAGTGATGACATTTCATACTATACTCACTCGGGGTGAGGGGGCAGAGATGACATTACACACTATACTTACTCGGAGGGGGTTGGGTAGTGGTGACATTACACATTATTCTCATTCGGAGGGGGGGCAGTGATGACATTAAACATTATACTCACTCGGGGGGCGACATTACACACTATACTCACTCGGAGGGGGGGGGGGCAGTGATGATACATACTATACTCACTCGGAGGGGGGCAGTAATGACATTACACACTATACTCACTCGCAGGGGGGCAGTGGTGACATTACACACTATACTCACTCGGAGGGGGCAAAATTAATGTCCATTGTAAACAAAAGCAGTGCGTATCCAGGGGTTACGCTCATTTCATCACCCCTGGAATATGTCATGTACGCAGCTAGCTATCTGATTGGTGTCTGGTAAAAAAAACCTGACCAATCACTAGGCTGATACCTGTTCTTTGAAGATTACAGAGAAGCGACACCCGACTTCAAAGCCAATAAGTTTAACTGTTACGTGACCACCAGATGTACATCAAAGGATCACACTAGCCTTCTCGTCTCATTCACAAGGCGGCGCACACTGAGCCTACTATTTTGCTATGACATATTCTAGGGGTGCAGAGAGCGAAAGTGAGCGTAACCCCTGAATATCGAGGAAGGTTTCTTGAAGCCTGATCAAACACCACTTGGGCGCCATTTGTAACTTTTTTTGTGTATTGCAGACACAATTATCTTCTGCTGCTTTTTTGATATGGTCTAAAGAATTCAATATACATCGTCCTAATTCGAGATGAAGATCTAGTTGAAACCTTATTTAGTGTTCTTGACAAAGTTTAACACCAGGCTTAAACAAAATGGCACTGACCAGGCGGGGATGAAAGTGATACTGTACTTTAACGATAAAGCTATATCTATATATTTATACAATCTGTTCGATATTCTTAACGATATGAATTCACGTGCAATATCCAGATATATCAAACAGTATTTGACCTCATTTTGCATCTACATAATGTATTACACCACATGATAAAAGCTTCAAAAAACTACTAGTAATTTGTACTTTTTTCATACCAAACAGATTTACATTCAGAGCTTTCGCTAAGAGCAAACAGTTGTCGGGAAACCAATTAATACAAGGTTTCAGCTCCTTTGATACTTTATCAGATATGATCTTTCAATCTCGATGCAAAAGCCTGGAGGAAGTCGCATTTGAGCGTGCATGTTCCTGCTTGTCAAATAAGACTTAAACCGTTTTATTAATTAAACTACAACTTCAATGATTTTATAACACAAGTTATAGTGGTCCTCGGTGTCAAAAGATTTTTTGAGGTTTAATACTTTTTTAGCAATTCTAAAGTAGTTGTAAATACTTCTTAAAATAGCCGTCGGCTTTTGGTTGCTTGCGCTTCATTCTTTCGTTTTTGTCACCTTTTAACCAGAAGTACGACAATTACCTGTTTAATCATATATTTATCTAATGGAACAAATGTCACTCTCAGTCACAATAGTTCGACCTCCTTGTCTTCTTAAATGACGAAAGTCGACGATTTATTCAGGTTACATCTTGTAAGATGGACGTAATTTAAATCAATCGTTGACTTTAGAAGTTGAAGAAGGTCAGGAGGCCGAAATACTGATGACATTTGTTGTGTTAAGTTTTTTTTTCACCTTTGGAAATACTTTGTTGTTTATTATCACTATTTTGTGCTATTTTCTTTATGTTTCTGTGTTGCAAGCATGCGATCATTCTCTTTTTATACTACTTTCATGTTTTTAATCCAGACATAGAAAGTTTTGAGATGATTGACAAAGTCGTTCTCTAACGAAAGAAGAAATAACAATATTTATGCTTGGTTGGTTGGTACGATTTACTACCGATGGTTGGAATACTAACGGAGACAAACTATCCCTCTGTTAGCCCAATCGAGTTTTGTTTCCATATAAGGTGCAATTAAGAGATTTTATATCTGGACAGGTAACAAAAGCCTTGCAAAGACTTTTAATTTTTCACTATCATCGTTGAAATGTCTTCATATATTAAATGAAAACTTTGAACCCCTCGATCGTTAATACCTTCATAATCTCTTCAACATCAACCGTTCACCGAGATCTTAATTAACAATATGGCCATTAGGAAAAGTAGTTTTCTTGAAAACGAAACTGTGTTTTGTTCGGTTCGTGGTCTCTTTCTTGGTTACTTACAAAACAAGGGGGAAAGACACTTACCAATGATGATGAAGAGCCCATACAAACCATTGGGAAGTTAATTTACCAACCTGGGGGAAGGGCTCTTACTAAACATGGGAATGGTACCTTACTAACCACGGGTAAAGGCGATTACCAAACAGGGGAGAGTGCCCTTACAAAAACAGAGGGAAGGTACCTTACCAAACAGAGGGAATGGCGCTTACCAAACACGGGGAATGGCTCTTACCAAAGACGAGGAAAGACGCTTACCGATCATAGGGAAGAGTTTATACTAAACATGAGAACGGGCTATTACTTAACACGGAGAGGGTACAGTTTACATTACCTAATAAAGGGAACGGCGCTTACCAATCACGCGGGAAAGACCCTTAAAAAACACGGGGAAGGTACCTTACCAAATTTGGGGAAGGGCTCTAACAAAACACGGGGAAGAACCTTACGAAACACCAAAGTAAGTGTTCTTACCAAAAATGAGGTAAGACCCTTACGAAACACGTGGAAGCGCTTTTGCCACACGGGGGACCTCGGGACGTATGCATTCCCCCTTGTGAAATGTATCTCCATATCTATGCCTATAGATTGTCAGATTAAAAAAAAAAATCGTCAACAATGAATTTAAAGGTATTGCAATTTTGATTGTGATAATTGCTATTTTTTCAGATTTAGCTATTATTTTGAACGAGGACCACATTTGGAATAAATGAGTATGAGACAGCATTTGCTAAAATTCAGATTTGATTTTAAAAGTGGCTGTAAATTATATTGAATAATGCACTTTTATTTTATATTCTACCACGTCTGTGATGTAACGACGGCTTTCATTGGTTAAAAAGAGTGCATTATTGAGCGATATACCATGCGCGTGACAATAACCAATGCACGTGAAATAGTGCGCACGCATGCTGTTCCAACAACCTCCACGTGTTTTATCATGAATTAACAAAAAAAGCAGGCGGGATCAAAATATTTGACAGGCCTGCCATTCAAAAGATTACACGGATCTATAGACCTAAAGTATTTGGGTCCGTGCAATGAAAATGGTTTATTAATTATTGACATTTAAAATGTACAAGTCTGAAGACAAAATGGTAAATTATTAATTACTTCTGTTTTTTCTTCACTGGGTAGTGCTGTACATTTCACGATGTGTGCAGTGTCTGTATGTACTGTCAAGCGTTGATTTCATGTTTTGACGAACGATGTCGATAGCATGCCAATGTTTGATTGATTGAAATAAACATCGTATCTGACGTCACACGTGTTCAGTTGTTTCTGGTCTGCAAAACGTCGTCTGCTTTCAAAAATCAAAGTGATGTCGTGCATTCGCCTACAGTGTACATACCGTGGGTGAAGTATAATGTTGCAAAAAGTAGCATCGGTCTGAACAGTGGTTGCAAAACACAGCTGTCCGGTGAAGTCGGTGAAGGTGAAGGTCGCGTCATGATCAGCCGGTCAGCGACTTTCCTTCACGTCATGGCAACCAACTAAATATGCCAACACATGTCAGGCCTGTCGTATGATGTTGTATCACTGGCACTTCCAAGAAAATCCGCTTGATATCGGTACGATGATGATGGTTTTAGAAGTAAACGCAATCCGGGAATCCCAACCCTACGCACTGAGAAATGTTGGCGCGACATTGATCAAGTCAAAACGAAGCAACACGATCACGTGATAAATCTTGCACGCGCAAAAGAACAGCGTCTAATTTGCATATCGAATTATCTAGGACATGTCGCCTTATAAGACAGCAAAACTTCACAATTAGTTACAATTGACGTGGTAGAATAAAAACATTAAACTTATGTGCGTGCATCATGGTGGAATATATAACGAGGGTGAGATAATGTTGGTAAAAATAATTAACGAAGGCCGCTTGAGTTAATTATTTTTACCAACATTTTCTCACCCTGGTTATATGTTGATTATTTCTTAACTATACATAACTGTGTCATATGGTCAATAAAATAAGATTTTGATCTGCTATTTATCTTTTAAATGAGTTTAAGTCTATGAATAATAAGTGTTTACGCTAGAATAATGTTCTATTTAAAGTGGTAAGTAAGAAAAGTATTTGTATGTGATATACGGTTCGTGATTTCCACAAATGTCTATTTTATTTAATTCTACTTTGAGTGTAATTACCTTATCTTGAAGCTGTTCTGAGCTAGAAATAGACCCACCACTTCAAACAGATTGTTTCACGTTACTATTTATAACTTTGATTTTATTCTGTAACAGCCGAATTCAACAGTGAAGTGGAGAAAACTATTAGTTCTCCATAGCAGTAACGACCTGACACATTAAATATAGAGTCATCGCTTAGAGATTTTCACTTGCGATAACTACTTGTATACATACATGTTAAACGACGTGGATTGTAGGGATGATACAACCTTGCTCGACAGTATCTACTGTAATTGATATAGGACTCATGTTCGGTGGACAGAGTGACAATATCGTCGACGTTGTATCACATTAAGCATATACTCCGCCATGCGTGACTCACAGAAGCGCTTTTATTTCGTATTTAAAGTATTTGGTTACGTGTAATTTAGCAAGACGATATATTTTACCCACCATGAGAGTGTAACTCTCGTCTGTTAGTAGGCCATAATACAGCGTCTAATGTCCCCGTACAGGACGGACAGCTGGCGTGTTGCTCGCTTTCTTACAATACATACGTAACCTGTAATGTGTGTATTGCCACGGAGAAGGGTTAACAATAGAATCAAAGTGACTGCTGTGTTACTAAAGATACAATACAGTCACATACCATCGATTCAGGTCAAACACGTGTCGCTGGTTTCTTTTCATCTGTCATAGTAAACGGAAATAGTTTGTCTAGTAAAAGCTTAAAAACTGAACGTCTATTTTCAAACACTGGGAATTAATGAAATATGTGTCAGAACAGACACATTACATTAAGGTAAGCATAACATATGTTACGAAAATTACGGAGTAGTCTATGCAACTATCGATGAAGCATCGCGCTAGATATACACAACGTCTCCCATTGGGTTCACTAGCTCACGGAGAGGTGTTGATATGGATTATAGTAGCACGTGCCTAGCCGTATTACCAGAGGACAAGAGGTTGTTAATTACAGAAATCGAAGCCCATGTCAAGTTAGATGTCATTAACCTATCGGTGTTTTGGTTGTGTGTCGTACCAGCTGTGATACCTGACGAGTAGTGTAGCTGTCATTGAGAATAGCACAGCATGACATAAACATTTGTACGAGTTCTAGATCTACGAAACATTGATAACCTTCATTTTAATTTTTATGTTGGAAATTTGAAGTTCCTGGAGAGTATTCGAGATAACTTCAGTGTGTTTATTCATAATATCCTAATCTTTGTTTAACTACTGCGCTGATGTATCACAATATTCGGCGCGGCACTGTGGAAGTTGTGGATGCTGAAAACGATGGGGTAAGTAACACGTATAAACAATCTGTCTGTTTATATCAATACATGAGTTTGCTTCGAAGGAGTAAGGGGTATAAGTATACAGCCGATGTTTCACGACTCGTAGTTGTTAGTGTCCTGGACTAACATACTAAACGACATTAATTATAGACATCGCGGGATAGTTGGGGACAGATGTGTCACATGATTGATTGTTATTGTAAAACCTTCGTATAATAGGATGTATACTTACTATTTGTGTGTGTAATATGAGTGCTGTGTAAATGTCGCCTAACCACCGTGCCATCTAATGCTTGTGGGATCTTATGTAAGGGGTTCACCAATCGCCATTTTTTTTTGTAAAACCTACCGAATCCCAATTCAGCATCCGGTTTTTATGGGAGCCCATGATGGTATTTGTTTTTGTTCTGGTCTCTCGTTTTATTGTAATTACATTTTGAATTAGAGTTATTATATTATCTTTCTATATAAACGATATATGGTACAGGTTTTTATCATCTTAAATATCTATTTCACAGAAAATTAATCTAGACGATTTAGTAATCTAGGGGATCATGGAAATACGAAATGTCTTCTGTTATGAAAATGACAGGCTATCATGTTTATAAAGCCATTCAAAGGATGTAGTAAAATAATTATAGATACTGAAAACATTTCACGAAATAACTCACTTCAATAGTGATACGATGTGTGTAATACCGACACCAGAATGGCCATTGTAAATGTATACAAAACCTCAATATGACGTTAGTTTTCAAAATTGTGTATTCACTTCGCCATAATTCAGCTTCATGTGAACCATAAAGTTATCAAAATACTTTTAAACTAACCAAATAGTCATGTTCATATATCAAAAACCATTCTCGGAAATATCTGTTCTTCGTCGTCTGTTTCTACAGATTTGTGACGTCGTACATATATTTCTATATTTGACGTCACAAGTTCTACTCAACGGTTCGAAAACTTTGTTGAAAGCTGTTGATACTTGACACAAACTAGTCAGCCAATACCATACATGTATATGTATGGCTTAAGTGCATTGCAGGCATTTCGACACATTGTACATATCTAGGTAAGTGTCCCACGTGACAAAAGAGTTAGCCAGATACCGTCTATATCGCCAGCTGTCACGCAGGACGTTTTGTCTATTCTATGTCAAATATGTTTGTTATGTTGGGCAGTGCATAAGTAATCACAGGGGCTAGATACATCGAAGGTTAGACTAATTGTATGGTAATAGGTCCCTGTGCTTACATTGGTATGATTAGTGATAATGACATGAAGTATCATTAAAATATTGAGTTATTCTTACATAATGTGATCGCACGCCAAGGAAAATCAGATCTGCTGTTTGAAGGGGCGCGATTGTAAAGAATGAATTGTTTAGCCACTAAAATAGTATGTCTTATACAACGTGGAAATCGGTGCACTGAAAACAGCTGTTGATAATACTTTGCCAGCGATTACTGGTTAATGTCACTAATAGTCGTTTCCCGTATCGACCATGAATTCGCTTCTGTCTGTATTCTGTTTCGCCTGTTTGTAGTTGATAGATAAATGGATATGGTCTGGCGCCTTAAGTGTCAATTTGATGTACCGTAGATTTTTTAATTCGATAACATGATCTTGAGTATTAACATCAAAAACATGCATAGCAGTATTAAACTAGCCGATGAGCAGAAAATGAAAGGTGAAAACGTCACCTGTACAGAACATGTGTTAATGTATTTCATAGTATATCATACTGTATAGCATCAGTAAACTTACTTCTCACTATAAATCGATCTTGTGTATTTTCTATTATTTCCAAATTACATAAAAGCTTATTTAATTGGATTTTACTAACCTTGTGTTCAGAGTGACAAAATCAGGCGGCAGTAATGACGATAAGTACCTTGTCTGTAGGGAAACAAATTACCTTATTTCCCTACTACTGCATAATGGCAAAAAAATGAATAGTTTCTCAATATTTCCTGATAACTGTTTGATAGGAAGGATATCGCGTAAAAAAAAAAAGGATTAATTTATTCACAAGTGAACATTTTCAATTGTACCGAAAATAATAACGAATGTTTTCCGATGTTTCACTGGTAAACATGTAATTAAAGTAGGTACATGTACGTAGGTGATTGTGAGTATTGTAACGCAAATATACCAGTGTACAAATAATAATAACTGTACGTTTAGAAAATTGTACGATTATTAAAATTAAGCATTTGTACATGTAACAGCGTTTGGATAACAAAGTTAATGATATTAGGACACTGATTTATGGAATCAATGTAGTACTGGCAAACGGTTAATTTAATTGAAATTTAATACTGGTGTACGATTAATATAATTCATATGCAGTACTGGCAAACGGTTAATGCAGTCAATATGTAATACTTGTGTACGATTATGAATAGAAGTTTTACATTGTAGATATGTTATACTGTTAGTTGAATACATTATCTGTGACGTAAACAGACATTTGAAACCAAACGTGAGTTGTCAGTATTCTAGACTGAGGCTTTACCAAGCGTTTACCGAGTACAGAGATGGTAATGTGCATCACCTTTTACGCAGAGGGGTGAATATTTACCTTTTATGTTATTGCCCTTGTCGGTGGGGAACATGCTTTAATGTTTCCCGGGTACTGCTAATCATTGTTTCATGTTGCCCACGTGATATTGGATTATCAAGTAGAAACAAAATAATCATGTATCATACCAAAAGGGTTATATATGAAAAGCATGGCTTACAAAAAGTTTACTTCATTTTGATTTTTCTTTTGTAAATAAGAATTGATCAATACTTGTCGTTATGCAAGCATATCCTGCTCGTAAACTTAAAGCAGGAGATTAATTCTGCGTTTGTAATGATGATACAAAGTCAGGGAGCTGCAACGTTTGACATTAATTGGAAGTTGTAGTTGCTAACATTTTGAATTGATGCTGCTTTAAGGGAGAGTAGCCTTAGATTTGCATGCTGAAAATCCGATGTCTGAAGTCAGGCCACAAATAAGACCACAATTCAGATTGTTCGTGTTTCTCTAAACTTAAAAGCACACAATACTGAAGTGATGGAAATTGAAATCACTACCCTAAGATATATATATATACAAAACATATTTTTTACACTTTATTTTCATAAATAATTGCTTAAATCAACTATTGTTATAGGTACAAATGTGAATTTTGAGAGTTCATTCTTTTTGCAAATGTACATCCAAATCGAGCAGGTCGCGGTATAAGTGTCCCCGGCTAAAGCCTATAGATAAGTGTAAATATAACCAATCTACTAACAGCATACCAACGTGTGGACGAGATACGGTTATATTGTCACGGGCGCACCTGCACACTTCCACACGAGTGGATTATAAGTGAAATGCAACGGAAAACAAATTCAATGTTTACTTTGTTATAAGTTTAGAACTTTAAACGAAAAAGAAAATCAAATAGCATGTTGAGAACGTCAAAATATCTACACATTAAATGAGGGGGGGGGGGGGGGGGGGGGGGGGGGCTGGTGAAATTCTATAACGCCACAGTCGATTGTTCATTTATACTAAATGAATATATATTATTTATAATCATCCTTATACTCTATGTCTTATCTTTAGTTTATTAGTTGTTCAACAACGTCTGTATCCAAACTTTAACTACTTTTCTTGGTACAGTTAAGGTAAATCAGGCTTACAAGCGTACATTAGGTTACATTGGCTACTCTACTGTAAAGTGGAACAATGTTTTGTGGACATTATCGAGCATCCTTTCCGTAGACAGGTTTCTTCTTCAGTATCCAAATGTATCTGACCTATCCTATCATGTCAAACTGAAGGAACGCTGTTGTTGTTCTCTGTGATGGTGGTTTTCCTTTCGTTGGCCAGGATGATATGTACTGAGAATGAAGTCGTGAGAATGAGGGCGTTCCTGAATGACAACATCTTTGTTCAGTTCGTTGGCAGGCTATTTTACCCGTCTGTAAGCATACTTATGGGAGCAAACTATGCCTTTTTCTGACCGACTTGTTTTCTCGTGTTTCATGGTACTGAATTGATTTAGGATCTCATCAGGGCTGATTACAAAATCTCGCCACGGTTCCAGTTTCACTTACTCACTCATTATGTGACAAATTAATTTTCATTTCACAACAACATCACGTCTGGGTATATAGGTGTGATGGCCTCCAACTTTACACGGCACCTTCTGTAGCTGCGTGTTTCATAAAGCAAGTAGTTAATCTCACTCCTAGTTGCTAAATGTAAATGCTTCCCGTGTCCTGACTGACGTCACAGGCTTTGTAATGAATATTAAAGCATTCGGATTTCCGCTCGTCGATGACATTATTTGAGTTACACACAATATCATTATTTAGCACTATAGGTACTTTGTCTACGGAATAGCATTTGGGTCAACTCTTGCATTTCTAATTTATTTTTTGTTGTGTAAGTACACGGAGATTTCTCTACTAACCTTTTCGATGTTTCGAGATAACAAACAGAAATAAAGAAATAATAAATTGAAAGAACAAAATTTACAGAAAAATTACCTCTGTTATTCTCTTTCATATGTCATAAATATATCGAAATATACAGTACAAAGTTAAGACAATTATACGGGTAAATGAATCTAACGGTAAATACAATTTCACGGTTGACAGAAATGGATGGTTAATAGAACGTTTGGGGAAGAAGCATAGTCACTTATACTGTTACTGATGCTGATAAGGGACACTGGCGTACGGTTGATGAAATTAATCTACGATCACAATCCATGGTTATGAGATTTGTACGGCTTATATAATTGTACTGTTAAAGAATGTAAAGATGATCTTAGTATAAGGGTAACAAAACTAAGCCGTTGATGGAAATGCCTGGTTCGTATCACTTTAAGAGTGTTGTAATTGCACGTTTAATGCAATTGCACAGTTGATAGAATTGTATTGATAAAATAATTGTATAGAAGTAGAATAGATAGAACAGCCTGCAGTATCCAACTGCATGTTGTAGGATTCAACTAATGTGGGAACTCCTGCAGAATTAGCGGAATACGTCTTTATCCTCTACCTAGGGGACATGGAAGAATTTAAACTTGATCTGCTGCAACCAAAATACAACACTTGGGATCAATAAAAAAAAAATCTCGATTCCATACCATTTTTTCGACGGTGTTTCCTTGGGCATTCGTCTTCATATGACTTAAGTTTTTTGAAAGTACATGTAGCGAACAGCTACTTGAGTCGCATAGGCAGAGGTATTTGAAACCAATTTTCGTGAGTTGTTTGAATTTCATAGAGAGCCTTTACCGAGTTTGGCGTAGGGGAGTTGCTATATTCCTACCACACCAATCGACATACAATGTAGTCAGATCACCATGATGACATCATTTCCGTCGTTGACGCCATGAGCGGTCTAGACAACTATAATGTCCATGTCTAAAATCTAATGCGCCTATGAATCTTACATATCGATGTACGCTGTAGTATGATGTTAAAAATGCCATCCATGATTGGCAGGAATTCGGTGTTTAAGGCCTCCTCACACATAGGCGAATCCATCAAACGGAACCTGGCGAATTGGGTAAATTTGTCATTTCCGGCGAAACTGTTTGAAAATATGTTACATAATTTGAAATATAACGAAAGGTAAACGTAGGGGAACTATTTGTTGCGAATGATTTACAAAGTGTGACGAACGGTTACTGTTATTCGCTAGAATGCGTTGGGTCACGCAAACAATCTTTGTTCTTTCCGTTAGCGACAAGGAACGCGAACATGCGAACCGAAGCGCAACTTTGCGCATGCTTCGGAAGCCGTCCGAAGCTTTCCGAAAGGATGTTTCCGCATCCGGCCGTTACCGGACGCTATACAAGACTGTCGAAAACCAGGTGGGGTCATTTGCCTTCTAACATTCTCCGACTCGACACCACGTCGTATTGCTGTTTTATTTTCAACATTGTTGAAGTTTTGTAAGTGCAAAAGTATGCCAAGGGGAAGATGAAAAACATCTAGAGCGAGAAAGGCTGCTGCTGAAAAGCCAGAGAAACCCGAGGAACCAGAGGTCAGTCTGATGAGCAGCCTGGTGATCCTGAGGAAAATACCCAATAGTCCTCCCGGGTAAGTTTCAAATTTTTAAAGTCTTGTATTGTATGTCAGGGATATATGTTTTAAGGTGTAGGTTCTAGTCTTTTGTGGCCTTTATTTGTCATGGTTATATGTCAGAATTGAAGTGTAGGTTCTAGTAGTTTGTAGCCCAGTAATAGCACCTTTTTTGTCACGTTATAAAACTCCTGTTTTTCACAACCTGCTAGGTCATGTTTATGGAAAAGTAAAATTTATTCTCCGAATGCCTCATTCTATATTATCATGTATATATGTACATTATATATAACAAAATACTGATATTTATAAGGAAGTAATTTCTTACGTCCCAAGATTTTTTTTATAAGCATGTATTTAACTGTAATAAAACAATAAATATATAACAATGATAAATACAAAACAATAATAAATTATAACAATAAAACAAATATGTTCTTACAACAACGTTTATTCTTTTTTTGTGTGAGTTTAGCTTCAGCAGTTAGCAGAGGACAACCCTGGGGTCTTGGATGCTGTAGATTCGCGTGGATTCGTTTGTCGTAGTTACCCTTCGTAATGACTCGTATGCAAGCGTATGCCGTACGTTTTTGAACGTCAACCAATCGTTACAATTCGCTTTCATTCGTCATGAAATTTCGGATTCAATTAGCTACAATACGTAATTATTCGCTACATTTCATACAAGTTCGCAAACTATCGCAAAGATTTGTCATGGGATCGTCCTGAATCGCTTGATGGTGTTATGCGGATTTACCTCTTCCGAAAATCGGGGTCCGGTCCCCGGATTTGATATTAGACACGGAAGCACATTATCCGGTGTTCGTTGAGTTTTACCGCCATTAAAAGGTTGCACTGAAAACTCGGACGATCTTTGTGTTGTACACAGCCAGCCATCCGGCATAACAAGTGGTATCAGAAGTGGGATAATGCTTATACGTCCTGCAGGGAGTCCAAAACCCGTTTCTATTTGTGTAATGTATTGCAATTCGTACCTCAAAGTGGTCAGGAGTCTGCTACAGGTAATCGCTGCATTGATTGTTTGTGGGTTGTTACTCGTAATTTAAAGGATTATTTTGTTATTTGATTACTATAACTCATTTATTATTTTCACAAAGTAAGAGCACAATAATTAATTTACTCGGTTTGGGTAATTTACTGTTTTGTGTGCCTATATTTAGCCTGTGTTTCTGCACTTTCGTTTTACATGTATTTTCGTATTGGTGTTCACTGCGAACACTAGAATTGTTTCGAAACGAATCGTTCACTGCGAACGGTCAAAAATTATCTTTCAGAGGTCGGAGAAGGATCTCGTAGACTACCTTAAATCACACAACGTGACAATACCACCTCACGAGGCAGATTTGACCCCCCTGCTAGTATCCGACAACAAAGGAAAGCGCCTTGCAGTGGTACACAGGGGCAGTAATCCAAAACTTCCTATCCAGTTCTCATGTAAAGGTGGTGCAAACTCATCAACCCTAGTATCCCTACTAAAACAACAAATTCCCATCCTCAAGCAGAAATTTGGTAAACCTGTTTATGATTATTTCTGGGCTGGTACAATGTACATGAGACATAACCTCAAAGCGAGGCGGTTATATAAACATTTCTGATACAATAATGTACCTGTGTTAACACTGTACACAAAATTATCAACTGCTACAAAAGAGCGAGGGCCTACACAATAAAACAGGGGTGCAAAATGCAATTTATTGGAGTACCTGTTTATTCGGTTAGCCTTTACAATGATATCCGAGGTCACCATAATCCGAGCAAGTTTCTAGAAACAGATGCTGAAGTTGCCAGCCAGGTACACTTCTTGAACTCTCAAATTAAACTTCTCAACACAGAACTTGGTACCACAACACTTAAATTCAATGCTGATCTTCGTGATTTTCGACAAAAGGGAAAAGAACGATATGTTTTGTAGACTTGGACATTTTGGAAGTCCACGTTGACCAACATGAACTGTTACAGTTAGCATTTGAACAAAATGGGTGATAAAGAACAAGAAGTCACACCAGGGGAAGGAGAGTCTTCAGTTGACACTGCGTCAGCTGCGGCATACGATATTCCTCAATTCGTAATGAAAAGTTTTGATGAGCAACGTGATACACAAATGAAGATGTTTCGGCAAACTATGGTGGAGTTTGAAGACGAAAAGAAACGAAGCTCTGAGGCACAAAGTGAAAAGATGAAGTCCTTCATGCAAGAGACACGTCATGATATTCAAAATGGCATAGGACATCAAGCACCGCTTGCACAGAGTACATTTTCATCTATGGGTCCACAACAGGAATTTGGAAGGTCGACAGACAGAGGATCGTTTGGTGGTTTTGATGAAGAACTCCGGGTAATCCAGGATAGAGAACGCTCATATTCAAGCCCAAACTTAAATGGACAGAACTCTGCACTATCCAGTACCCCCTCATTGGAAAGACAGGATATGGGACGTATGCTGAACAGACATCAAGGAAAGGGTCCTCAAACAAAACTTCCAGTGTTTGAGGGATAGGTTTTTATTGTTCCCTTTGAACGGTTAGCAGAGCGTTATAACTGGACAGACAATGAGAAAGTGACAGACTCTACGAATGTCTAAAAGGAAGGGCCCTGTGGTACATCTGCTCCTTACCAAGGGAGATGAGAAGAGATTACAGAAATCTAAAGGATAGTCTGATCAAGCGGTTCGGACGAAGAGACCCACCCACAACAGCGCGATCACTATTACATGAAGTAAGCCTAAGTAATGACGAATTTGGGGAAGAGGTTTGGCGCCTAGTTACCCTTTCTTATCCTAATGTAGATCTCGACTTGCAGGATCAATTAGCTGCAGAGGCATTCCTCAAGGGGTACAATAACCCCAAGGTATCTTATGATGTGTTGGACAAGAAACCAAAAACTATCAATGAGGCTATTGAAATGGTTACTTCACAAGAACATAACTTCAAAGCCACCATCGGTAGGGAGAAAGAGATACGAGACAAGGCTCGGCGCGTTTCATGGGCTGATGGGGCTGGTGTAAAAAAAATGTCTCCGATGACGAAGAAGCGTTGAATACACAGCGTGTTCAACAGCCAAACACTGCCTTAGAGTCGGACAACCTCAGTAAATTAGATGTTCAGATGAAACAGCTGGAGGATCTTGTTCGGAATAGCTCACTAGAGTGTCGCGCAAGATTCGACCAGTTAGGGAACGAAAGCTAAAGTGGGTTTAGCAAGGAAGGAAAGGAATGTTATAGATGTGGTGGTAAGGGACACTTCCAAAGATATTGCAGCTCTATGAGATCAAGATCACCCTCACCAACCAACAGTCCCCTTTCTCGCTCACCACAGCATGATGTTAAGATCACCCGGACCAATAGGACTGAGAAAAGCATTATCGTCCCAATAACGGTCAATGGAACAACAACTGAAGCGGTTATTGATACTGGGGCCGACGCCACAGTCATTTCTGAGAAATGGGCAAATGAAATAAATTTGCTGTATACTAAGCCAAAGAAAGATATTCGTTTAATGACAGCTGAGGATGGTGCAGAGATGACAGGATTGGGAGTAGTCACTGCGACTCTCCAAATTGGGGAAGAGGTGAGGGAACTACCAGTTGTGATAGCTCCTATCAGAGACAACATACTGGTGGGCATTGATCTACTCCAATCTGTACAGACCATTATCCATACAGGAGAAAAGAACCTGGAAGTCAACGGAAAAGTAATCCCAGGACACTCTCAGTTGAACAGATCAGGGAGTGTTTTTGCCAGGAGTATATTTAGAGTACATGCAGATGTTGTGGTGCCACCAGGAAGTGAGAAAATAATCATCGGACGATTTGAGACACCATCAGACACTTCTCAAGAAATACTGGAGGCATTCAATCATCATAGCGGAATGCGAGTTGGGTCATGTCTTGTCTCTATGAATCAAACTATTCCTGTGAGAGCTCTCAACATGAAGGATAGCGAGATTAAACTCACAAATTGCACATTTCTAGGAAAAGTTGAGGATTCTGACCTAGCTTGGGACTCAAACATGAGCAGGGAGCCTTCCGTAAACACCAGTGTCGAGCCAGAACATTTACAAGAGGCTCCTGGGAGAAACAGAGAGGTTCCGTTGCATGTAAAGGATAGTTTTGAAGAGTCCTCAAAAGGACTGTCATCAAATCAAAAAGAGGATCTCTGTATGCTGCTGAATGACATTCCTGATATATTTGCTAAGGATGACTACGACCTAGGCAGATTCAGCGGAGTCAGACATAAGATTGACACAGGTGAAAACAAACCTATACGTCAACCCGCAAGAAGGACACCATTGGGTTTTCAAGCTGAGAAGGACGCCAATCTACAAAACCTCTGGACACTGGTGTTGTCATTCCATCTAGTTCCGAATGAGCATTACCAGTTGTACTTGTTCGCAAGAAAGATGGTGGCGTGCGTTGGTGCATAGACTATCGAAAGGTGAATGAGGTCAGTGTAAAAGATGCTTACCCACTTCCAAAAATTGAAGAGTGCCTCGATACGCTTAGTGGTGCGACTCTATTTTCCACCATAAACTTAATGAGTGGCTACCATCAAGTTGAAGTTGATGAGATGGACAGATCAAAGACCGCCTTTGTCACCAAACAGGGGCTCTTTGAGTACACCAGAATGCCTTTTGGCTCATCCAACTCTCTCTCAACTTTATTTATCTGGACGATGTGATAGTGGCATCCAGGTCTTTTGAAGAACATATGCAACATCTGCGTCAGGTTTTCTCCCGGATCCGTGAACACGGTCTGAAGCTGAAAGCCAAGACGTGCCGTTTGTTTCGGGAGGAAGTCCTCTTTCTGGGACACATTATTAACGGTGATGGAATATCCACCAATCAAAAGTTGGTAGATGACGTCCCGAATTGGCCTGTGCCAAGCAACTGAAGGGAGCTTCAGTCTTTTCTAGGACTTACCAACTACTACAGACGGTTCGTTCAAATTTGTGCAGAGATCGCTCTGCCACTGCATGATCTCACACGGAAGGAGGTAAAATTTGTATGGGCAGACCGTCAGTGTGAGGCATTCGAGGCCCTGAAGAAGGCAATTACCACTGCTCCGATATTGTCATACCCGTCGGAGAATTGCCAATGCATAGATACGGATGCTTCTAACATGAGTATAGGCACCGTTCTTTCACACGTCCAAGATGGGGAGGAGAAAGTTGTTGCATATGCAATAGACGACTGACCCCTGCACAGGAGAAATATTTTGTGACACGACGCGAACTTCTTGCAGTTTTTGCTTTCTGCCAGCATTTAAAACATTATCTTCTTGGCCGGAGTTTCTTATTACGCAAAGACCATAGCAGCTTGTCCTGGCTTTTCCGGTTCAAGTCGCCACAGGGACAGCTGGCGAGATGGCTAGAACACCGTGCTGGGAAGCTGCATGTGAACGCTGATGCCATGTCACGGATTCCGCATCAAGATTCGTGCCCTTGCTACTTCGCGGGTGCCACAGTTGAAACTCTACCGTGGAGGATGTATGTACAATGCAAAACTACAGACTGCGTGGGAAAGATTCGAGGAGGATGTTGACGATATTGTGCCTATAGCTGTTCGTTCGGCGGAGGTAACTGCTGTCGAAAAACACTCTGCGACCGGAGAGGACTCTAACACGAAGGACAATATTCCTCAATGTGACTGGCTACAGACCAAAAGTCCGATGGAACTTCACGAAGAACAGATGCAAGATGAGGACCTAAAAAAACTGTATTCATTTGTGGCCAACAGCGAGACAGTTCCTCTGTGTGAGGCGCAAGCAAGAAGTCCTGCTCTGCGGAAGTATCTACTAACATTTCAGCAGTTCAAATTGATACGCGATGTTCTCTACTACCAGTGGGAGGCAAATGGACAGGAGTCACTGCGATTCCTGGTTCCATTTCAGATGAGAAAAGAGATCATGTGGGCATGTCATGAAGCTGTTAACTCCGGTCATCAAGGGGAGAAGATAACTCTGGAACGATTGAGGAAGGGCTTTCACTGGCACAACATGTCGATGGATGTGAGCATATTTGTTCGGAAATGTCATGTATGTGCAGCTGAAAAGAAGAGTAGTAGAACTATGAGAGCACCTCTTCAGACCTAAATCTGCGGAGCGCCAATGGACAGGATACAATTGGATGTTGTTGGGCCTTTTCCTATTAGTGATGATGGGAACAAATACATACTTGTCATCATCGACCAGTTCACCAAGTGGGTCGAGGCTTACCCAGTGACACAATAGGACTGCAACACGACAGCGAAAAAACTGGAGTTCATTATTAGATTCGGTGTACCCCTGGAGATCCACACGGATCAAGGACGAAACTGCCAAAGCGCCCTGTTCAAGGAAGTATGCCGGTTACTCGGAATCGCACAGACCAGGACTACGCCCTATCACCCTTCATATAATGGTCAAGTTGAGCGGTTTAACCGCACGCTGTTGCAGATGAGCAGGTGTTATCTAGATCATGGCCAGGCGCATTTGGATGAGAACATTCCCCTTCTTCTGTCTGCATATCGAAGTACGCCAGACCCTGCTACAGGATTTACACCAAACCTGTTGAACCTGGGTAGGGAGGTCCATTCTCATACCGAGCTGATCTACATGGATTCGGATATTTCGCGTTCCTCTGATAACGCACCCACATAACTCGACCGGATGTTAGAGGGTATGCACATTACTGAGGAATTAGCTAGGAAAACATTGAGGGCTTCAAAGGTACATCAGAAAAAAGTATATGATCTACGGGCTAGGGGAAGAGAGTACCACGTCGGGGACCTTGTATACGTGAAGAACCAATCACGATCTGTTGGACAATCTCCGAAACTCCAATCTGTTTGGAGTGGTCCTTTTGTGATCACCAAGAAATTTGGTCCGGTCGTGTATGAGGTCCGTCGCCGCAATAAGACCTCAGTTCTTCACCATGACCGGCTAAAACAATATTTGTCTGAGGTCATCCCGGCCTGGGTTACCAAGATAAAGCATGATCTTGGTACCTCCTCTCTCCCAACGATTGCTGATGAAGACCATCTTCCAACCATGGATAAGACTTTCGGGACAGAGGAAAACCACCACGAGCCGCAGAACAGCCAACAATCACTGAAAGCCAGTTTTCCAGAGGAAGAGCCAAAGACACCCGTGCCAACTAGGATGGGTTCACAGCGAACCATCTCAGATGAACCATCCTGGTCCTCGCGTTACGGCCGGGTATGTAAGCAGCCTACCAAGCTTGACCTTTAGCAGAAGCTAAAGGAGCCTGGAAGGGGGTGGAGTAATGCGGATTGACTTCTTCCGGAAATCGGGGTCCGGTCCCCGGATTTGATATTAGACACGGAAGCACATTATCCGGTGCTCGTTGAGTTTTACCGCCATTAAAAGGTTGCACTGAAAACTCGGACGATCTTTGTGTTGTTATTGAAGAACACAGCCAGCCATCCGGCATAATGATATGCAAATTAGCTGATCACGACCTGATAACTGGCTACCTCTAGCGCCAGTTGACGAACGCTATGTGAAGACTTTTCGAGTGGTTAACGTATTGAAACGAATTTTAACGAATGATAGACAAAACTTTTATTCGCAACAAATTTTTCAACATGCTCAAAATTTTCCGACGAACAAGACTAATCGCAACGGACACAAAATCTCGAAAAAACGCATCCATACGAACTCATTAACGATGTACAACGTACATATACCAATGGGAACGAATTTTTTACTCAAGTCCGATTCGCCAGTACACGCAAGTTGACGCCCGGTTTTTTCGTCTATGTGTGAGGAGGCCTTTTGGCTTAATCCCACTGCATTGAAGTGACTTATGTGCTGCACCCCACCTCTGCGAGTTGGTAGCTCTCTTCTGTACTCTTGTCTAGTATATATTGAAGAGAGTTAATTTGATCCTTTTGCGGGATGTCTATATTTCTGTTTCCTTTACTCGCTGCTGTATCCCTATTCAATCCTGGTTAGCCTGGCAATGTCACAGATCCTGTTATTCTCCTTAACAAGGTACACTGTAGCGGCGTAACCATAACGTGATCGGATATGATATAATATTAAAACGCTTTATGTTGTGACGTTTCAATAAAATGTCCTGTTAAGATGACCCTCAATCGGCTCCACAGTCCCAGCTTACCGTCTTCAAACGCCCTTAGTTTTTACAAAGAGGTAGTACATATTACAATCAAACAAGTAAACATGGAAATTTCGACTTTACCGTTAACACATGACAGCGCGTGATGTATGGTCCTATTAGGTATCACTTATATACAATAAGACAATGTTAAGTGACTGCACTAAAGGAGCCTACAGCTAGTATACTACTACAGTGATGTGCCCTTTAGCACTAGATTAAATGGCCAATGACTGTAATTCAATACGTCATGTCATCTTAATCTAATTCTGACGCCATATCGACACAGTCGGTTTGAAATGTTACCTAGTACGTTAAAGGAACGTTATCTACAACAAAGTTTGTTGTCGAAACCTTCTCCTTCTCGAAAGATAAACAGGGAAGAAAAACATAGTCTGTTTGCTTAGAGAGGCTTGACCGAGCAGAGTAATAACATATATTTTAAGATTTAAGCTTTGGATGTAAATCATTGGTACTTAAGTAAGCCATGTTAAAAGCAATTTACCTGTCTGTTTTAACGTCTCTTTAATGTCCGACTGGGGACCCTGTTAGATCGTGATGAGTCTTACCATGGGTCTCTCAGTGACAGCACACGCTGTGATAGGCTTCTTTTCTATGGCAAGGATCGTATATCGACCTTTAGAAACTAGTGGCTTCTATAAGATACAGAATAAGCGTTCTAGAGTTACGTCATTCTCTTTGGCATGTAATTTCTGGGGTGGCCCATCATTAGCATTTACTAATTGGTAAATATCATTACACGCCGAATCACACCGTCTCGTGTTTGTTAATGGAGAATGGCGTTATCTGCCTTGAATTGTCGTCCTTTTAATCAATCGGTCATTTAATTTTAGCTTAGGAAACTGTATTAACATGCTAATATAAACTGGGTATTTAGTTTGTGTTAAATGAGAAGCAGATACCATGCCTGTTGAGTGCGTACTCTCCGCACGCAAATTCTGTAAACAAGATCCCACGTACATGTTGATAGTGATTCAGGTATTTCAAATAATACTTTTCGATAGTGACTCAAAACTAGGTTACTACAGTAACATCATATACTGTATTTGAACTTGACACTTAAGATATCCTCATCTCCGATGCTAAACAACAAACTGTGTGTTTGTGTCTATTTTACACCTTTAACAGGTACAGTAGTCTAGTGGTAGGACGCTGGGCTTGTGACCACAGGGTTCGAGTCAAGTTACGGCCCTGTGTTGTATCTTTGAGCATGATATTTTACTCCGCTTGTTCTAGTATACTCAGCTATAAATGAGTACATGGTTGGGCAGTGCTAGAATTGCTGAATGCTAGCTGCTGGGAGCACCGTAATGGCAGCACCGGTTGTATGCTCCCCGGGGAGTTGAGAAAGATATTGGCTGGTTGCAAAGACCCTATAACCACGGTTAATAACGTGTGTACCACTTTTAGGCGACCTACGAACTATGTTGTGAAAAAGCGGTATATAAGAACCTCGAATAATCATTATCATTATTATTATTTATAGAAGAGTCGTACCGCCATTTGATGATGTTTTTCGTGTATCCGAAATGACGGAGGTTGTTTGTGTGATTGTATTGGTGTTTTTGTAATTAATCACACCGCAGTTCGTTGGATTCCAGTGTTTTCTTTTGAATTCTGTTGATGCCCATGACCTAAATGTCTGACCGTCGGTGAGTACCAATCCATTACATGTGATATCTAAACTCTTGCGTGCAACATCCCAAGAACAATATCAATGGTCTTTTCATGTTGATAGGCAAATTTTAAAAATTGAAACTAGAACTATCCGTGTAGTCAACCGTCTTATATCACGTCTTACTTAGCTTCCACACAGTAAATGGACAATGCCCTACCTCAAGTAAACCAGAAAATCTGTGTGATATAAAATTGAATTAATATGGATCAGAATTACCAATTTTTTAATTCTGATGTTCGCAATCATAGCCGATGTGACGTCAATCCAGTGCGAGTTTCCTATATGTGTTTTTTTCTTATATGAGTTGAGTTCGAGACGTATATTCTTGTTTCCTGAAGCTATTGGTTCACGTCTGACACAAACTGTCACTATGGGAGTGTCAACGTCACTAAGACCTCGTCCGATATACTGTTATATTGTAACTTCGCACTAATATAGACTCTAATTATTACAACAGGATAACCCTCATTCATCACTTATAACAACCAGTTTGTTAGCAACGTTCGAAAACAAAAGATAATACAAAACAAGGAGCGAGAAAATCAATTTTATTTCCCTGTAAATCAATCAGCGAGCGCATCACTCATTCTATTACTATTTCCTGCACAAGATTCAACGGCTGCTTTCGACGAGACGTATTTTCATGACACTACTTGTACATGTAGACGCATCAAGATCAATTTTGAAATATATTTGAAGGTATGAATAAAGTCTATTTTGAGACATACTCAAGAACTGTCCTTTTTGGGCAGAAAAAGGAATAATAAATGACAAATTATATTTATTCGAAAACCAAGAATATACAAGTTGTGTAAGAAAAAATATCTTTGGTATTAAAACCAATTTTTTTTCTTGTTTCCCCAAAATCTGCTATTTTTGTGCAAAACTAATTCAATTATGACATCACTGGCCATAAAAGACAAACACAGTTTGTTCTACTGAAAATAGAAACGCACGGAGACTGTCGACCTGAGAGGGAAACCAAAGATTCATTTTGATATGAAATCTGACATATGTTCGGAATACAACTCGGAACGCAGTTGGCAACGAACATATTCTTTGGTCCCCGTTACTGCGTTCATACTACATGTACCGTATACGCCGTCAAAATAAAGATTAATTTTTATTTATCTATAACGGTCGTTATGTACACGCTTTCACACACTGCTCGTGTTGTGACGCGGGGACCCTCGCAAAAGAAAGCCGCCATTATTTACTTTACTCTCAAAGAAATTTGAATGTGCATCCATGAAATAAGACATTTGCGAGCACCCTTTGTTGTATAATTAGACATAATGAATCCCGAATATGTTCCATGCATCTAGATGTTGAAAGGAACCAAACAATGGCTGTCATCAAGCAGTGATCTCGCTGTAGCGGTAACGGCGGCATATTTGAAACAGGTATCAATCTGCAGAGCCTATTTTCATTGTGTATACGCTAATCTATAGTCAGAGTTTACTATGCTGACGATTGAAGAGATGTAAATATTTACTTATAGAAATGAAGCCGCTGTAATGTTACTAAATTAACAACGAGGATATTGCACGAATAATCTGGGTTTTTGTGCTGCCATCTTTTTCGTGTTTTCTCCGATCTTGTTGAACAAGGTGTACACATGTCAAGATCACTTATTCGATGATATGTAGAATTCAATCAAGAAGAAAATGTTAGTTTGAAAGACGCCAAACGGCAATGAAAGTTGAAGATATGGACAAAATAATAGAGGATTTGATGGAAATACTAATAAGTAATTTAAGGCGGATAGGTCATGCCTCCCCATGGATAAAAATTGGGTAAAAACTGTAGACAGAGCCTTAGGTTTTACCATTATTAATTAACCCCTCGGCAACACTTTCTTATCCGTTCCAACAAATTGTAAAGAGACTGATAGTCCATTTTACGTAAGCTTTTAATTATTTATAGAAGGTAACGCATCTTAATATTGGTCTTTGGGGTATTGTTTCGCCCGACAAAGGGGCGTGACTCCTTTTATTGGCGGGCACAAAGACGTGGCTGAAGAATTCTTAGCCGAACCGATAAGATATTAGTGTTATAAGTTTCATTATGTATATATAAACCACTTAGTGGGACAGATCGTGCGTGCGATGCACGTGCATAATCCAGCTGAAAGGAGCGATCTGGTCTCCCTCGAGACTCGTCCCTTATTATCTGACTTAACGTCCACTATACATTATGTGATATTGTAAGATGCCAGACAACAGCTGAGATCAAATCTACGGGGCCAGGAGTATTCCATGCTAAATTCCAAATAGTTTAGCACTACGGCGAACTATAGTGAGGATTACACTTAAAGTAATCTTTGCTTTCTGCATCATCTTTTGATGAGATCTTATGAGACAAGGTGCAGTTTTAAAGTGCGCGACTTTCAATATTTATACACGTTTTACT